GTAGCGAGCGAAGCGAGCTTAGTTTGCGATTCAAACCATATAAGATTGCGTAGCAATTTTCGGGGGTTGGCGAGCGTTAGCGAGAAGGGGGCGCAGCCCACTAGTTTTTAATATTATTCTACTATTTTAAATACGATTCTAATAGAAGTCAAGAAATAAAAAAAGGGGGCTTTTTATTGTGCAGAGAGAGCAATACATTGTTGTTTAGAAAGACTAATATATTTTCGTTTCTTTTTAAGTGAACTGAAAAATTCTGAAAAATGTTTGAGGTCATTGGCTGATGATTGTGTTCCTTCAAGATATTTATCTATTTTGGAAAGGCAATTTAAGGAATTAAATGCCCGGGTGAACCTAATTTGTACTTTAAAAGGTATGGAATTAATAACAACATTGCATTAAAAATAATGTCTAATAGTAACGATTCAGAGATTTTTAGAAAACTTTTAGAAAACAACTTTTAAAAACTGTTAGTAATTACTTTAGTATATTTGTTGCTATATGTAAATCCAATTTCAGCAAATTGGGTGGTAATAAAAAATAAAAATTCAAATTAAAAAGACACATATTATTAATTTGCAATCTTATAACTAACCAACAATCTGCTTCTTTATTCAATTAATAAACAAAATTTATTCAATAAATCTAATAATTTCTATAAAAATCAACAAATTTAAATATTGAATTTAAAATTTGAACTTTTTTTAATTAAAATTTTTGAGTAATCAACTTCAATCCAAGGTAACGAACGAGCAAATCCAAGGTAACGAACGAATCGGATGCGTCAGATTAAGTTCTAAATGAAGATAAAACAAAGAAAAATTATAGACATATGAAAAAAAGGGGGGGGGGAATAATAAGTAAAAAAATAAAAAACAACAGTTTTTTTTTTTTTTAAAAAAATGGGATGAAATTTTATTTAAAAAAACCGGAAAAAAAATAATCTTTTCTTAAGCCCACACGATTATATCCGCAAAACAGAGGGCTTTCTGATATTGTATCAATAAATACAATGACAGAAAGCACTCTGTTTTGCGGATATAATCGTGTGGGCTGATGTAAAGATTTTTTTTCCGGATTTTTTTAAATAAAATTTCATCCTTTTTTTTATATATAATTTTTAGTTTCCTAATACGCTTTTTTTTTAAGATGAGGAAGATGACGATGGTGATGAGGACGATAATGATGAGGATGATAGTGAAGCTTGCATGGAAAACCACAAAGAATATATATATGACTGTTTAAAAGAAAACCAAATGAGGGCATTTACACGCTTTTTTGGTCAACCGAATTTAAATCCCAATGATATGAAATGCACGTAAGTATAAGCCACAATTTTAGATCTTATTTTTAAAAGCACTTGTTTACTTATTCTTCGTTTTTCTGTAATTTATGTACTCAATTTGGTAAGATATGTTTTATTTACTAATGAAGTTTTTATACCTGTCCATTTTCAAAATCTTAGCAGCTTTATGCATAAATGAGCTGGATTTATGCTGAAAAATATTTAACTTATTCCAATTTAGATTGTTAATATAAATTTATCTACTTTAAACTGAAAACTAGAATTTTATTGAAAGAATAAGATGTGAAATATGGAGATGTTTTATCTTTTCTTTTTATACCAGCTCATGAAACGCCATATTAATCTGGAAAAAAATTATGACTCATCAAAATGTCTTCACCTTGAATTCGAATTCAATATAAACTTTAATTTGTCATATAAAATATTTATTTGAAATGGAATAATGGTTTAACTGCATATTTTTTATTTTGGTAATTAACTAACTTTGTTAATTAACTATTTATTATTTTTTAATTAATTACTTTTGTTAATTAACTATTTATTATTATTTAATTAATTACTTTTGTTAATTAACTAATTGTTTAGTCTCAGTTGTTGTAATTAATTGTATAGTCTCAGAAAAATGCACTTAATTGCTAGATTATGCTTGTTTTGTCCTCTTTCTCTCTCTCTTTTATTATTTATATATATATGTCAAATTTTTTTTTCACATTAGATTGTACAACTGGATATCTGAATGCGTTACAGAGCGCGTAGAAGAAAAATGTGGAATAAAAGCAGGACGCAAAATGCGAAAGGAGCTGAACGAACCAACTGAAGAAATAAAAAATGCTTGTGATGCTGTAAACATGAAATATCAATATTGAATAATTTACGAAGATACGAAGAAGAAAATATATATATGTATATAGATATAGATATTTATCTGTGTATTTCATAACTAAGTTTCTATTCAACTTCAGTAGGAGCTATTTATATTTTTCAATTTTATTTTTTATAGACATTCGAATAATTTATTCAAATTTTTATTGTAATTTTGGTAACTGTTGAACTGTGATGTCGTTAAAATTTATTGCGAAGTTGAATCCCGTTATCGCACTTCTCAAAGCCTGATATTGTTTTCAGTTTGGACTAATGTATGGTTCAATTTTATCATATAGTGGTTCAAAGTACCAATATTACGGTACCAAAGTACCAATATTACGGTACGGTTCAACCTGGAACCAATTTTTTTAGCCTCATGTTTCAACTTTTTCGAACAATATCTTAATTAGCATAACATTAAGTGCACAAGGAGAAAAAAAATGGTAAAATTACCGTACTGTGCAGTAATAATATTTCTAGTAAAAAAAATAATTCTGATATAGAAAGTGATACATAATAATATGCATTAGTTCCGTATGGTTAGAGTAATAACATTTCTGGAAAAAGCAAAATGTATTACCTTACATTTAATAAAAAATTCCAAATTAAAAGGTAATTTTCACCAAATAAATGGCTTTTATACCATGTTAAAAAGCATGATAAACTACGTAATATAAAACCATGCGTTATTGTTAATTTTATTAAAATTGTTACCAAATCGCTTCGGTTAAAATTACTGAGCTTTTTGGTATTCCCATAGAGAACAGTAAACTTTATCATATTCTGGTTATTTTGACCATATTTTTTTCTCAGAATTGTTAGTTTGCTCTTACATTTTTACGGATTACCACGTATTGGCTTGGTCGTAGTTAGTAAATTTAGTTTTAGAGATTCTCATGCTTATCACCTTACGAGGGGAAATGAAAATGCTCTTGTATTTTTATAGTAGCACAATTTCAAAAATAATACATATTCAAATCTTAACAAATAAAGAAATAGCAATCTCTTGGTATTTTTAATGTTTGTTTCAGAGTAATTATTTATAATTATAATCTATCTATAATAAAAAATCGTAAACGCCTGTGCCGTCACTGTTTTCGATGTTAACCTTTTGTTCAACACTTTGTTTCACAGCACAAAAACTATTGAATTTAGAAAGTTATAACTATAAAGGATAGTCGAAAAATGTAAAATGAGTATGATGAAATAGAAAAATTTAACACTCGATATATGGTCTGGAAATTATTTATTGTTAAATTTTCCTTCAATTTTCATTTTGTTTTGCTGTGCAGAAACTATAAGACTTTAAAATCTCAGATTGTCAATTTTTAAGCAAAAACTGAAGAA